CCAGAGGGATCGGGTGGAGAGGGAGGTGGGAGGGGGGACCGAGATGGGGAATACATGTAAATCCATGGCTAATTCATTTCAATGTATGACAAAAACCACTGCAATGATGTAAAGTAATTAGCCTCCAACTAATAAAAATAAATGGGAAAAGAAAAACACACATTATTGACTGGAGAAGTATTAAAGCCACAAGTGTTGGTTTCTGCAAGAATACCCTGGTCAATAATGTGTTGTGCTGTATGTGCAGCCGTACTTAGTTGCTCAGTCATGTCTGACACTTTGCGACCCAATGGACTACAGCCTGCAGGGCTCCCCTGTCCATGGGGATTCTCCAAGCAAGAATACTAGAGTGGATTCCCATGCCCTCCTCCAGGGGATCTTCCCAACCCAGGGATCGAACCCAGGTCTCCCGCAATGCAGGCAGATTCTTTACCAGCTGAGGTACCAGGGAAGCCTCAATAATGTGTTAAATCCCAAGATATACTTAGAAAAGAGTGTGTCCTCTCTACCCTGGCATTCCTAAATGTTTGCTTCCAGAGAGGTGCACATTAGTGTCATCAGGATCAGAGACCTCCTCCACGGTAACTGGTTATTTTACAGAGTTTAAGCACCCCAGGCTTAAACTGGTTTGAACCAATCCCTTTGCTGTGTATGTGTCTTGTCCCCCTAACTCAGAGGGTCGGGAGCTTTGTTGCAGTGGAGTCAGGGGCAGCAGCAGAGGTACCTAAAAGTCCTGGTGAAGGACTTCCCCAGTGGCTCAAATGTAAAGAATCTGCCTGCAAAGCAGGAGACACGGGAGATGCAGGTACGATTCCTGGATCAGGAAGATTCCCTGGAGCAGGAATGGCAACCCACTCCAGTATTCTTGTCTGGAGAATCTCATGGACAGAGGAGCCTAGTGGGCTACAGTCTATGAAGTCACAGAGTCGGACACGACAGTGACGGTGACTGATTGACTGAGCCCTCTGCTATTAGGCGTGGACTCAGCCTGCCACCTAGTGGCCACCTTT